AGTGAAGAGAAATGTGTGTGTGGTACAAACTCTGCCTTGAGCCAGGGGATTAAGCTAGTCTGGCAGGCACAAAGGTCTGCAAATGAGGAAGAGTGGAGGTCAGAGTCATGAATCATTTGACTGAGGTTGGAGAGCAGAGTAGAACTGGCTATCTTTTCTACACCAGTCTTATTTAGTCAAGAAAAAAAAAAGGTACATATTAAAGAATAAAAACTTTGAATTTAGGCAACTAAAAAAGTAGGGTTAGAAATAGTCCTCAAGCAGGAGTCAACATAGATAATAATTCCTATTATACAGTAAGTATCATATGATAATACTGAGTCAAAAAGAGTGGCCAGGGACATTATTTCCAGTATGGAACGCAGAGGAGAAAACTGCAGGAAAAGTCCAGGTCCCCAGGGCTTGGAGGGAGCAAGAGTTTGCAAGGTTAATGGGAGAGCTGTGGTTCTGAGTGATGACGATTATGGAAGCAGCATCATCCCTCCATGTACAAAGGTATAAAATGTTCCACCTTATTAGTATGGATTCTAAACTACAAACTCTACAGAGCATGTTCTAGAATACACCTGTAAGCAAAAATGTTCTACAGGTACTGTCAGGGAAGAATTACACAAATAAGTTTTAGGGTTCTAAAGGGTCAACATTGATTACTAGACTACAGTAATCCCTAGGGACTACTTTTAATGTCTAGATTAATACACCAACTTGTAAACTGGCAATTAGCAGTTGCAATGACTTTTTTAACCAGACACATAGTAACTATTTATGGGGGAAAGAAATCACTAATATCCCTGTGCCTCTCATATTATTACTTTAAAATTATAATTAAGTATATGCATAACTTATTTAGAAAATAAGACAGGTTATTAACACTGGCTTCCTAATTTTTCCACGGAGGTTAAAAATCATCTGGATTGAGATTTTATCACTATGGACAGTGGTAAAACCATCAAATACAACAGGATCAATCCAGATAGTATTGCTGCCCACATTTAAGTAAAGGAATCCTGGGGAGGGACCTGTCTTCTAGCCAGCGTCCTTTTCCCTAAAGCAAGAGGCAAGATCTCTTTCTGTGGGAGGAAAATGATCTTTCAAATCCTAGAAGCTCTTGGTAGCCAGACACAGCCTAGTCTCCAAAGGCTGAGGCCACTGAAAATACCAAACATTTCTGAGCTAATGTGTCATTTTAAACTTAAGGTTTCTGCTACTTGCAGAGTGCACATGCATGCATAATCAATTGCCTACTAATGAAAAAATAGTAACATCCTGGTAAGCGGAGCTCTGGTGGCCTAGTGGGTAAGAAGTTGGTGAAAGGCAAGGGGTTCAAATACACCAGTTGCCATGCAGGAAAAAGATGGGAAGTTGTGTACTACGAATTCATCTTCATAAAATCCACATACTTGACAAGTGACAGCATTCCATTTTAGATCCTTAGAAAGAGAATCTATAGTAAAGTCTAACGTTCCAGATGGCCAAACTAAAAATCGCCGGTAATTCCTAAAAGGACCCGTGGGGTCGGTCGACACTGTCTGCTCTTACCTCTCACACCCTTCATCGAGGTCTTGGCAATCACACAAACAAGCAGCCACGTGGTTCTTTTCCCCATTCCGATCTATATACTCGCAGCAGCACAGAGGCTCCAATTCGGGCTCTTCAGTTTTCTTTTTCTTCACAGGCTTCATGCTGCCCCTTCGGTGTGGTGATTTGCACCTGCCACCATGAGGTTTAAGTAGCCCTCTGAAGGTGAAGGTGGAAAGAATTCAACTCACATCTTGTAAACACATCAACGTCTCTCTGATGAATCGCCAACGCCTAAGCAATACAAAACAAAAAACAAAAAAAACCGAGAAGAGCAGAAGGGAAGCCCAATTTGCTCTAGTTGGTTCTGGGAGTCCCCCTCCAAGCAAGCACCCTGCTCAGGGGCTCAGAGCTGCCTTCCCCGCCCTCACCACCAGGGCAGGCGCCGTCTGGGCTCCCACGTTCCCATGGCAACAGCCGACCACGCGGCCGCCACAGCGAGGCGCGGGCGGCGGGGCTCACCTGCCAGTGCGGATGCGAAGGGCAGGCCGGCCCCGCCCGGAACCCGGGCCCAGGTGGGAGGCGCGCCCTCCGGGAGAGGAGGGGCGTGTGGCCGCCAGCGCCGACGGACGTGCCCGCTGCAGGAGCCGCCAGCACCCCGGCTCCTCGGAAATACCTACCGGGCGCTCGGGCAGCGCACACAGGCGCCGTCCAGCCCGCTCCTCCAACCCTGCCAAGCGCGCCTCGCTCGCCCCCGCCACTCCTGAAGACGTGGACCTTGGAGAATGACCTTGGAAGGGAAGTTACCTGCCCTCCGGGAGGAGGTGCGCCCGCAGCCAGAGACACTAGAGCGGAAGGTGGGCTCCTCCGGCGGCGCGGACGCGTCTTCAGCTCTCCTTCTGCGAAGGTGAGAATCCCCGTCCCCGGACTCTCCGCGGCCGTGCCCGCTCCCACCTGTGACCACTGCCCGGCGCAGCCACGGTGGGCCGGGCTCGCCGCGGCGAGTCCGAGCTCTTCCGGGTGCCCCGCCCCCGGCGCCGGGATCTCCGCCCCGCCGGCCACACGTGCGCCGCCCGCGCCCCGTGGAGCCCCCGCGAGGCCCCGCCCCCGGCCCGCCAGCCCCGCCCCCGCCGCGGGATTCCGGAAACCCGAGCGCTTCCGAACTGCGGGCGACCCTGGGGTGGTCCTCCCTTGTTCAGAAGCCGGGAAAGGACCTTGGAGGACCTCGCACAGATTTGCCAGCCTCCCCTTAAAGGCCTATGACTACTTCCTAAATTCATCCAATATGTTCGTTCTCTGAAAAGCCTGATGGACAGTGGTTAAACCTCACGGCTGCTAAGAGAAGCGTCCACTGTTCAAACCCAAACCCGCTTGGGAAGAGACCCATGAGTCAGTGTGTTTCTCTAAAGAGATTTTTCAATTCCCTGAGGGGCTTACTCAGTCAGCCCTACAGGATTCTTGTGAGTTGGAAGAGACAGGCTTGGGGATTTTGGTTTATTCAGTCACAGCAAAGTCATCAGCAGTCTATTCGATATGTAATCTCCCTAAGATGACAGTCCTCTTTGAATTTTATTTTTGCAAAAAAATTTGCAAGCGTGTTCTTTTAAGCAGAAGAACAAAAACAACTCGGATTTTTTTTTTTATTGATACTTTTTACAACATTGAAATTTTACTGGGTTCTGCATACATATTTAATTTTATTGCAAAGTAATTTACTTTGGTCATTTTCTTTGAGGTATTTAAGAAGCATGATCTCTCGTTTTGTTTTTTGAGGTGTTTGTTTGATTTTATTTATATTAATTAATGTTTGCAGAGCCTATGGATTTCCATGCATAGTTGCACACTTTGCTCTCTGCCCAACCCTCTCGTGTTAAGGAAAAATCACAAAATTATTCAGCTTGCCAATGATCACACTTGGGAATTTCATTAACAAAGAAAAGTTCAAGCCTACAGTCTGGTCACTCTTGCTCACATCATTATAATAGAACCCTCAGATAAATTAGATGGGATTTCCCCAGAGAAACTTACTGTCCCTGTAAAGTCAATCCTTTCTTTCATCCTTTACAAGCATCTCAAAGGTAACTTTAGCAATTCAATGTGACTTTGATCACTCTGGAAAAGCAGAAAACGTTTAACTTAAAGGCAATAGTAAGAATGTATTCTACACTACCTTTTTCTTGTTCCAGAGCCAGATCTCAAGAGACCTCTTCCTTAACTAACACCTAACTCTGGGAAATCAACCCTGATTTTAAGTGACTTCACAAAGTCCTATTTTTGGAAACCACTCACATTGAGATAAGTAACCCAAAAACTTTTTCATGAAAGAACCAAAGCTTGTGCCCAGTTTATAAAGTTTCAACAAAAATAAACAATGCGAATAAATACAAGGAATGAAGAAGCCGCATCTGGCTACTGAAAAGTAATACATATGTTAGTTTCAACCAGACATCTCACTTTTCATCAATAGCTAAACTGAAACATGTTTAATTCAAGTATTCCTTATTTGTCCACTCAATGCCCAGATTTTAATCAAGTCTTCTGTTTTTAAAACCCAGAACATGGTTCTTCATTGTGAGTTGTGATATCCTACATGTCCCTTTTCCTAAAATGGCTCTTAAGATATTTGATGTATAAAGAGGCAAAATAATCTCACTCCTGAGAAGTGCCTTAATGAAAAGCAAATGTTCCTTTGATAAAGATACAACTAGACTTCAGGTAGGGAGCTCTGGTAGCTTAGTGGTAAGGAATTGTGCTGCCAACTGAAAGGTACAGTCTGAATTTACCAGTTGCTCCACTGGGGAAAGATGGGCAGTCTCCTGTGGTCCTATTACTACCTCTGAAAACCTGCTAGAGGAGCAGCTATGAATCAGTGCCTACTTGACAATACATAACAACAGACTTAGGTAAATAATAATCATCCACAGTCAGATTCGCTAGTCTTGACAACTGAATTTGCATACTAAATGAAGACATGCTAACCTGGCAATATTTTGATACATGCCTGAATATAGAGCCTTTAAAATTCTCTTTTTGACGTTTTATTTGGAGATTTCTTCTTGTATTATCTTTACACTTAGACTCTTGAACGTGTGTCAATCATAAAAGCAGTCCATGGGCAAGTACTGTTTCTGCCCTAGCATATAAAGCACCAAGCCTCACCTAAATATGAGACTGTTCCTTCTAACTTAGAATGTTTAGCTTCCCTCTTTTATCAGAGAAATTGAATTTCATAATGTATTTTACAGTTCACTGGAGAAATTCACAGCCTACAACTAGTACAAGTGAAAGAAAGAATGGACCCTTAAAGGCCACAAAGATGTTAACAAATAAATGTTATTCGGGAAAATGTTCATATTAGAAATACCAATAATAATAAAGCATGGAAATGTTCCTATGACACTTAAAATCCTTCATTATTTGGTTTCCCTTCAGATGTCTTCTTTTAGCTCCAAGTGCTTCCACGTTTCAAGGCCTCAAGATCACTAGCTTTCGACAGCCATGCCAGTCTTGTTCTTATTTAGTAGGTCAAAGGTTCTTTGAAGCATAACCAGAGAGCTCTTCAGCTGCAAACAAAATTAATTGTTCAAAATCAGATTGAGTTTTCCTATTTTCAGACCAAAGGTTTACACTGACATTTAATATAATTTATATTGATGCCTAAAACTAAATGTCAACACCTCACTCCTTGATGTAGCTGTTAGTATGGCTGCTGTAGAGTTCTTCCCATTTGCTGGAACACTGCACTTTTCATTACAATGTACTGTTGTATATTTCACGTCCAACAGTATCCTACATGAAAAGTCTGTTTCCTTAAGTGGTTTCTGAAGTTGCAATGGGATTCCTCACCATCCCTTAAATAATGCAAGTCTCACTTCCAGGCTTTTGCTTCTATTATGTTCCTGTGTCTCTTTCTCTCTTTAAAACTGGCCCAATCCCAATAACTCCTAGTGGTATTCTTCCAAATCACCCTGTCTCATCTCCTAAAGCAATGCTCTTACTACCAACTTTGAAAATTCTATAGGTTTGGAAGCAGAAGTGTCAGCCACTTCCTAAACTACATGTCTTTGGAAAGTCTGTGAACATAGGGGAACAATGATAGTTATAGAACAGGGTTCAGGTCTTTTTTTCATGTAGTCACTATGAGTTGTACTTAACTTGACAGCATTTAACAACAAGAACAGATGAAAGGGAGACTGGAGGAAGCAGTTCTGTTCTGAAAAGTGAGCTCTCTTGTTTTGGTTGAGGGTTGTGAGAATATTTGGTTGTTTTTTATTTAAGCCTCTTGTTTAGAGTCAATACTACCTACTGGATGGCCTTTGTATTTAAAAGTTGGTTAGACACTAAGGCCTAGTGTAAATATAATTTAGAGGAACACTCAGTGGTTCAGCACTGGTCTGTCAATCTGCTGCACTGAGGCAACCTGGAGTGGCTATGTTACTGAATTCATGCCATTTGGGGGGTCAGATGCCATAATGGTTACCCATGGTAGACAGTGTTTGGTGGAGCTCCCAGATTAAGACACGTTTGGAGGCAGGAATGGCATCCACTGCCTAAACAACATGCCTCTAGAAATTCCATGAAATTTGAAAAAAGACAATAAATAGTTACAGAAAGACGTCAGGTCTTTTGTTCATAGGGTCACTATGAGTTGTCCTTGACTTAAAAGCAATCAACAATAAAAACAACCTATGTTTTTAATAGTCTTTAACAGTGTACATAGACATCTAATTTCTTTAATAAATTTAAGAACAAAAATCATGTCTCTTTTTTAAATTTCTTTATTCAACTAATAAAAGTCCTGGATATAGCATAGTAAGCCAAATAGGATAGCACAGTAAGCCAAATAGGCACTGGCCTTGCCTTAATGAGGGATACTGAACCAAAACAATTACATACATAAACATATATTTATACACTTTTAGTGTTGGTTTGAGCAACTAGTAGAGGATAACTTTCTAACATAAGTAACTACAGCAATATTAGGTTTTGGTATGAGAAGAAAATTGATTTCTGTTGTAGGCATGACCCAATGTGGAGGTCTGTTAGCATCTGGGTGGTGGAGCAGACCTGAAAAAGCTGAGTCCAGGGGAAAATGCCAGTGAAGCAAATGCTTGTGTGAGGCTGCAGCTCAGGGAAGAAGTCAGATGTGAAAGATAGAGATTTAGGAGTCACTGACACTGGTGATATTTAAAGCTATGGGAATGGATGAGAGGATAAAGATGGAGAGCAGAGAAGAGAATCTTAAAAGCTGAACCAGGTAGAATAGATAGTTTTAACCCACAAAAAAAGTAGCTTTACATGATGCTGAGTGAGGGAAGCCAGTCACAAAAGGTCATACATTGTAAGAAACATCCAGAATAGGCATGTCCACAGTAGCAGAAAATAGATTAGTGGTTGCCAGGGGCTGAGAGGATGAGAAGTAACTGCTAATGGGTACGAGGTTTCTTTTGAGGGTTATGATAATGATCTGGAATTAGGTAGTGGTAATAACTGCTGATTGTACAATCTTGAGGATATACTAAAAACCACTGAATCATACACTTTAAAAATATTTAAATTCTATCACAAAGCTTCCCCCATTTTAATAGTTTTTAAGAAGGCAAGATTAGATAGTATTTCAAGGAGTGGTCAGCTCTGACAAATGCTGACCCTGTAAAATGAAACTAAATAAAGGTACATTACTTTTATAAGCCAGAAGTCATCAGGGACCTTAAAGCACTATCAGTGAGATTACAAAGGGGGAAAAATAAGTACAAATGGGTACCAATTAGCTGAAGACAGAATGAACGGACTGGATTCATGCACCCAGGTTCACTCCCTCCAGAAGTCCCTTTAAAATCACAGTACAGGGATTTTATTTCTTTCATTCTTTTTAAACCATAAACCCACAAGGGTAGAAGAGTCATACAGCGCCGGACACTAGAAAGCAGATGGCTGATCGAGCAGACTTGGAAGAGCTGAGTCCTAAATTAACAGTGAATCTGAGAATCAAAATGTTCTCCAGGGACTCCTCAAGCATCTCAGGAATTGGGAGACAGGGAATAAAGAAGGAATCAAAATAAGGATGACTACATGTAACTTGATTATCTGACCTCTCCTACTCCCTAGGCATAAATCGGGAATTTTATTTTCTGGAAAGGATAAAGCAGTTTGTCTCTATCAGGGAATTCATCAAATTCTTTTAGTTGGTCTTTATCAGGGGAAATACATCAAACCTTACTGAGAACTGTAGAATTGTACCAAAACCAAGGGAGTCTCTATAAGGGGTAAAAAGGTATACTGAGTATAGAGGCCATCCTCTCTGCCTGTTCCTTCATTCAACTTCTAAATCCCAGCCTTTAACTCATCAGGAGATTAGAAGCAAATTCTCTATAGAAACTGACCAGTCCAAGAGGAAGAACCTGACTACACAGATACTAGAATTTCTTAACGAATAACCTAGCGAGGTTCAAGGTAGACCAGCCCCACATGGGAAATGTTTCTGATCCACATAATGCAGACACCCAAGGACCATCCAAGGCCCTCTAACCTGAAAGATAAAAAAAAAAACAGGGCAAAAGGATTTTGACAGGAAATGAATATGCAAGAAGAGAAAAAGAATTTTCAACTATAAGTAGCAATACGTTCAAAGTGATAAAAAAATATTGTTTGTTGTTTTGTTTGTTATGTGCCATCAAGTCGTTTGCGACTCATAGCAACCCTATGTACAAGAGCTCTAAAACGCTGCTCTATCCTGTGCCAACCTAGCCATCTCAGACACACTTATTTCCACCGCTTCAGTCACAGAATCGATATTGTCGCCATGAAAAATGATCAGGATGCTATAAAACAGAAACATTCATAGAATAGCTCTTTTCAATGAAACCCCTAGCAAAAATTGAGAAACTCAATAGAACAACCATGATATAAATATGAGAAAACCTCAAAAAATAGAAAAGGCAAAAATATGAAACCTTGGGGAGAGGTGAGGCAGACTCACAAAAGGTGAGTACAGTAGTAAGCAAACCTCTGAATAGCAAGAGTTGCACAAAAATAAGAGAGAGGAAACAGAAGAGGTACTCTACAAGAAAACTTCCCCCCAACTAAAGGGCATACATTTCCAATTTACAGGATTAGGAATGGTAATGGCTTCAGAATTCTCGGTAGTAATACAGGAAATAAAAACAACAAAACAATACCTTAAAAATTACAAAGAAAAATTCTTTCTAATCTAGAATTCTATTCTTGGCCAAATCATTAATTAAAGAGGAAGACAGAAGAAAAAATGCTCACAAGGGTGAAAGCTTTAAGTATTTACCTCCATACTTTTTTTTCAAGAAGTTTACTAGAATACACAAATATAACACAATCACAAAGTACAATGGCACATATCCAAATGACTTGTAGAACTGGTTTACTGATCTATAGCCTCCTGGGATAATTTAAACATTTGCTGCAGAGGAGCAAGGACTGTAGTTTGCAACATGGATTGAAGCTCAACATCAAGAAGACGAATACTCTCACCACTGGGCTAATTGGCAGCATCATGATAGATGAGAAGAGATTGAGATTGCTAACAATTTCAGCTTGTTTGGTTCCACTATCAACATGCTTGGCACCAGTAGTCAGGAAATCAAGACTAACTGCGTTAGGGAAATCTGTCAGGGACCTCTCCAGAGTGCTGAAGAGCAAGGATGTAAGTTTAGAGACTGAGGTGCCTGATCCAGGTCATGGTCAAGGATGACAGAGGAAGAATTAATGCCTTTGAGTTGTAATGCTGGAGAAAAGCATTAAACATAACATGGACAGCCAAGAAAATGTAAAAGTCTGTCCTGGAGAAGGTGAAGCCAACCTGCTCTTTGGAGGCAAGGATTTTGAGACTCTGTCTCACATACTTTGGGCATGTTGCCAAAAGAGACCAGTCTCTGGAGAAGGACATCATACTTGGATGGGTTGAGGGACAGTGCATTAAAGGAAGAGCCTGGATGAGATGGATTGCCACAATAACTGGGGTAATAAGGATAGGTATATCAGAGAGTGAGATTGGCTCAGGATAGAACTATTATTGTGCATAGGGTCACTATGAGTCGTAGTCGACTCAACAGCACATAAAAACAACAAACAGTTCATGAAGTTACTGTTCTACATCTTGGTTTTGTGGCATTTTAAAAGCTGAGTGATTATCTAAGATTTAATTATTGGCTTCTCTACTCATTTGGTGTAAAAGAGGATGAAGGCAACCAAAAACTCAAGGAGAAAACAAGTAAACTAGTCCACAGGATTAATAGCCCACATGAGCATGGCTTCTGTTAACCTGAGACCACAAGAACTATATGGTGACTACCTAGCATTACCAGGAAGAAATACAACAGGGAGTCTCAGACAAAATGGGAGGAAAAATATAGGACAAAATGCAAATTCATGGAAAAAAAAAATAAAGTCCAGACTTACTGAAGAAACCTCCTACACAATCATTCCAAGAAATCCTTTTAACCTAAAACTGAAACCACTTCCAGCAGTCACCTTTACGCATACAACAGGATGGACTAGAAAATAAACAATATCATCTATGAGGAGTGTGTCTCTTAAACATCCACATGAGATGGCAAGGAGGGGGAAGGATACTAGACTAATAGAAACTCTATAAACAAAATGGAACTAGGGAGAATGTGGACATGTTGTAGAAACTAACCAATGTTACCAGACAACCTTGCTTATCAGCTATTATGCAGGAACTTAATTCATTGTGCAATATTTCACCTGAAAAACAAGAAAATATTATGAAAATGAAAATTAACAACTAGAGGATATGCTTTGTTAAAATGAAGCCAAGAAAGAGGAAATATTAGCTGCAACAGAGGAAAGAGGCAATGAGAATCCCAATGAAAGCTGTGCAGCAGGCACTTGTTTCCAGTCAGAAGGCTCCACTGGTAGAAGAACAGAGACGAATGAAGATTTTGTGAGACAATTTGTAAAACAAAGTTGGGGGAAATAAAATAGATATAAATAATACTGACAAACTTATCAGTCATATAAGAGCACCATTTCAGGGTTAAGAAAAGGCACTGGGGAAAAGCAATCATGACTTCTTTTATAGCTACATACCATGGACTGCAAAGAGAACAAGCAAGCCTGTCCCAGTGCAACCTTAGAAGCCAGGATGGTGAAACTCTATCTCTCATACTTTGAGCATGTTGTCACGAAGGGTCAGTCCTTGGAGAAGGACAGCGTGCTTGGAAGGGCAGAAGGCCAGCACAAGAGAGCAAGACCTTTGATGAGATGAACTGACACAGACTCTGGCAATGGGTCAGGTGTACTGGAGAAGGTGAGGTTGGCTCAGGATAGAGAAAGGTTTAGAGCCATTGTTCATAGGGTCGCTTTGAGTCGTAATCAAATAGATGGCACTTAATAACAACAACATCTCTGAATCACAGACTTGGTCAAAATTAAGTAAGCATTCAACATTGAAATAATAAAAATTCATTTCATCAGAAAGAGAGCCTTAGAAACAGAGGAATGAAAGAAAATAAAATTCGCTGTCTTCTATGATAGGAAGATTAAAGAGTAGTATTTAAAATGGGGGGAAAATCAGTAAGTATTAATATATGCTTGTTATTTTAAAATAAGAGGTAAACACCAAAAGAACAAAGCAAAAGAATTTTGATTGTCTTTGGGAAAGAAATGGAACAGGAGGTGAGGGAGTTGTTTGTTTGGTTTTTGGGAGTATTTTCTCAGACCAAACTTTGTAATACAAATAAACTTCAAATTTTATGGATGAATGCTTTTGATAAAATAAAAACTTGAGAAAGTGAGTAGGGAGAAAGTCAGTGACAGCAGGAATAGACAAATCTTTGAAGGACCATAACTATAAAGAAAGAGTAAAAGCAGTTAATGGAAGATGTAAGCAATATAGAGTTATAATAATAATAATAAAACCACTATGAACAGTGCTCAGGTCTTTCGTTCATAGGGTCTCTATGAGTCATCTATGACTCAACGGCACCTAACAACAATAACAACGAAAACATAGAGAGAGCTACGTTGGCCTAGTGGACAGAAAGTTATGCTACCAAGCCCAAGGTGGATGATTTTAATCTGTAGCACTCAGGCCTGGTTCAAATAGGGATTTTTTTGTCAAACATTTTTCTAGGTGGTATAGCACTAGTCTGTGCATTGCTATGCAGAGGTAACTCATGGTCGCTGTGATGCTAAACACTGTGACACTGATGTGCCAAATGTGATACTGGTTACCCATGGCGGACAGTGTTTGGTGGAGCTTCCCAATTAAAACAAGCCTGGAAGCAGGAGTGGCATCCACTTCCGAATTGGCTTGCCTCCAGAAAGTCCAGGAATGGTTCTTTTGTTCATAGGGTCCTTATGAGTCTTCTACGACTCAACGGCACCTAACAACAACCAACAAAAATTTACTACCTTTGAATCAATTCCAACACATTGAAACTGACAGGACAGAGTAGAACTGCCCCATAAGGTTTCCAAAACTGTAAATGTTTATGGAAGCAGAAGGTTTCATTCTTTTCTTGAGGAGTAGGTGTTGGGTTTGAGCCACTGACTTTGTGATTAACAGCTAGGTTCTCTAACAGCACCACCACCCCTTTTTTCTATAAGCTATAATAAGGCAAGCCCAACTATGTGGATGCTAATGATTTGACTGAATGCAGAAGGGAAGGCTGAAGAAGGCAGATGGATATCAGGAAACACAGGCTGGAGGTCTTATCTGCAGGTTTCTTTACCCTGTAAGGCAGAGTCATCAGGTGAGAGTCAGAGGAAGTTGGGTGGAAAAGACAAAGCGAAAAGTGAGCATCTCTAATAATATATTCCTTGCTGAGAAAGGGAGAGGATACACAGATAATGTGCATGGATGGAGTGTCTTAACTGAAGGGTGCCTTTCAGTAACCACATAATACCATAGTGTTGTTGTTGTTATTGTTATGTACTGTCAACTAGGAACCAACTCATAGCTGAACCTTCCACAGGCTTTCAGAGGCAATTAAACTATAGGAAGAGATTGCCCATCTTTCTTCTGCAGCACAGCTGGTGAGTTTGAGTTCAAAACTCCGTGCCTTTAGGTTAACAGCGCAACTCCTTATCAATAAATTACCACAACTAACTCAATAGGTATGCTCAACAATAATCTCATTAAACAACAAACACTAATTTTAAAAATTTATTGAATTATTGAAAAAAGCAAGCTTTCTTTATTAAAATTATTAAAATACTGTGCTTGAATTCTACAACTCCAGGTAAACTAGCCTCTATCATTCTCTATTTTTTAAATTTCCTAAGTTTTGAAAAATGAGCATGTATTATGTTCATAATGTGGAAAAATAATCTTTCTTCTTCAAAGGGCATCTTTAGTTTTGGAGCAAGCAAATGAGCATCACATATTGATGACGTTATTATGTTCAAGAGTTAATGTTAATTAAAAACAAAATGAGAAATAGCCTACACAGTCATTATTCTATAGAAAGGTCATAAAAATAATTATAAAACATTTATTCTATATAATTGAATTCTATTCAGCTATTAAAAGAATGAGGAATCACTTTACATACTGATATAGAAATTTCTCCAAGATATACTGTTAATAGAAAGAAGCAAGGTAGTTAGTGCATACAGTACTATCATTTCCATTAAAAAAAAATTTAAATCAATGCAGAAATTATAAGAAAGAAGTATCACTAAAAATACTGATGTATACATATACCCAAGATATACTGTTAATAGAAAGAAGCAAGGTAGTTAGTGTATACAGTACTATCATTTCCATTAAAAAAAATTTAATATCATGCATAAAATCTTCTCTAGAAGTATCACTAAAAATACTGATGTATACATATACTGATATGAAATATTTTGAAACATATTTTACTAATATTACATATACTATTAATAAAAATATATGCTAAACAATAGTGCATGATATATTCCTAATCTGTAAAAAAGTTTAAAAATAACTACTAGATATATATATATATATCTCATAACACAGAAACTAGCAAGGGTAGTTTCCTCAAGGAGGAGAATTACTTCACAAAATGATACAATAAAATATTTTCTCAAAGCCATATGAACAATCATAGCTGCATAAAAGTCCTGAGTAATGTGGCACATGAAATTGCCTACCTGTTCAAGCATCACTATGGAATCTCGGAGCACTCCTTTTAAACGATGAGCATGATCTTTATTCTTTTGAGTATTTTCTGCTCTTGACACCATATCAGAGGCTAAACTGCAAGAACAATACAAACCCAAAAGAAAAACAATACTCATTGCCAAGTCATAATGATTCTGTAGGACAGAATAGCACTGTCCCACCTGGTTTCCTAGGTTAGAAATATTTTTATTATTAACTATTCTTTATTATTATTATTATAAAAAATTTTAGATTTATATACATCATTTACTTTTAAAGAAATCTTCATGGAAGCAAACGGCCATGTATTTCTCTCGTGCAATAGGTGGTGCTTTCACACTGCTGACCTTCTGCATGTTAGCAGCTGAGACTAAATACTACACCATCAGGGCACTGTGCGAGAATACCATCTTCAAAATCAAGACAACAAGCAATAGATGTTGGAGAGGATGTGGTGAGAAAGAAACTCTTACACATTGTTGGTGGGATTATAAAATGGTGCAACCATTCTGGAAGGCAGTTTGGTGCTTCCTCAAAAAGCTGAACATAGAAATTCCATATGACCCAGTTATTCCACTACTTGGAATATACCCTGAGAATATTACAGCAGCATTATTCACCATCTCAAGAACATGGAAACAGCCCAAATGTCCAACCACAATCGAATGGATTGAGAAATTATGGTACATTCACACTATGGACTACTATGCAGCACACAGGAGCAATAACTTTGTAAATTATTTCCTAACTTGAGAGGGACTGGAAAGCGTTATGTTGCGTGCACTAACTGAGTCCACAGGGATAAATATTGTACAAAACTGTTATTGTAGAATGAGTATAAGGATCCAGGAGAGGTGGGAGAGGTTGGAAGCAGAGGGATGTGGATATGCAGAGGGAGACGGGAATTAATCATTGGGTTGCACAATTTGATGGATGGGGGAGATGAGGGAAAATGAAAGAATTTGATCAAATTTATATTTGAATTTTGTAAATAAACTAGTAGGAAAAAACAGCAAAAGATAAAAACTGAAAACGGTAATTATTTACAAACACACAAAAATAAAAATCAAGACAGCAGTTTTCTGAGCTTTCATCTCCAGAAATCCAGTGTCCTCATAAATTTGCAAATAAAACATAAAGTTAAAGGAGCAAATACAAACAAGGAGTTTATGACTACTACAGGTGGATAAAAATCTCTAAAATTGGATATAAAATCTCTCTAGCTGAAGAATTATTGAAATCATATAATGAGAGTAGGTTGGAGGAGGAGAAAGACTTACTTCAGCGATTTCTCTTCTTGGACGTGGAGACGGTAAAATGATTGAGCAGCATATTCTATCTTCGACAGCTTCATAAATAATGTCACATTCAACAAAACTAGCAATAGCAAACTAGGTAGAGGAAACCACACCTGGTTAATTCACTCTTAACCAGATCTAAATCACCCATAATATAGAATACACTTGCAAAATCTTCAATATGTAGACTAGCTAAACTGCTTTCCAGTTATTATTATCCTCCAGCAGGTTTCCAGGGGCTGTAAATGACATGGAAGGAGATTTTTCACCTCTCTCCTGAGGAGCAGCTGGTAGTTTCAAACCTTTTGGCTTTGAGTTAGCAATACAACTCCTTATCCACTAAGTCATTAGAGCTCCTTGACGTGACAATTACCAGTTTAGAAGCCTTTGGATGCCTTTAGTTTATACAATTACGTACCAATAATGTTGTATTTCAGACAGGAAAAGAAGATCAATATGAAGTTGATCTTAGATATGCCTCTTTACTCCAAGTGAACAAACAAAAAGAAATACAATTCATCAAAATTTTCTTCTTCAGTTTGGAATAAAGGTAGTACCAGATCCCTTATATACATTAATTGTAACATATGTAAAATGTTGTAAGTTTAAAGGAACTTATTCTATTGATTTCACAGCAGGCTTTCAAATGAGCAGATATATAACTTGTTATAGATGTGAGGGAGCACTGGTAGCCTAATGGCTAGAAGCTGCATTGCAAACCCAAAGGCATGTGGTTCAAGGCCACCAGCTGCTCTGATGGAGAAGGTCAGGCGATCTCCTCCCGTGAAATTAACTGCCTCTGAAAACCCACTGGAAGCTACAAGTTGTTTCCAACTCAAGAGTCAGCTATGGGTCGGGTCCAACTCGGTACAGAACAACAACATAAATATGTACTAATATATAAGTAAGTATCATAGTTTTCATTTATGTCTTCTTTGAAAATATTGATTTACCCTTAAAAATGCATGTAGTGTTCTTTATCAGAAGAGAAAGAGCGAGAGAGGGGAGGGGAGGGGTGGGGAGGAAAGGGAGAGGGAACAGGGTAAAGGGGAGAGGGAAGAGAGAGAGAAAGAAAGAAAGGTGGCACCAGCAAGAAAATCAAACTCACAAAATTATTATGGCATTGAAACGGAGTATTTCAACATCTGAGATAAACTTTCTGTAAGTAATACAAATAATATTTAATACAAAATAGCTATAGTAAACTGATTTATCAGACTCTGAAAAGGAAAAAAAAATCCATATTCTGAAACCTATAATAATAAAAAATAGCTTTTATAAAAACTTTACTAAAACCCAGGATGTATCACTAAGTCAGAAACTTGGAATATGTGTTTTAAGATATTGATTCATGATTCCTATTTAAGGCCTACTCAGTTAATCTCTGGGATGGGGTTTGGTGTTAGGGAGGTTCAGCAAGATCCTCCTATGATTCTAACTGTAAAAGTTAAGCACTACTGTTCTTATCAAGTATATTGAATAAAATCATATTGTAGTGACTAATTTGCCTATATATATAAATAAGGAGCTCCAGTGGCTTAGTCCTTAGGGAATTGTGCTCCTAACCCAAAGGCCATGCCTCTCTGACAGTTTGAATACACCAGCAGTCCCAAGGAAGAAAGACTGACAACCTCCTACCGTGCAATTAACAGCCTCAGAAACCCAATGGAGAGTCAGCTATAAGTTGGTTGTGACTCAACAGCAGTAAGTTACAGTTATAGAAATAAATAATCAATTTGGGTTTATGGAACTTCCCACAAAAACCTATGACAGAAAATAGATTATTTTAAATATATACATACTTTTTAAAATATATACTTTGTACTACCTTAAATTTCTCAATTATGAATATCATTTATGTATAAAAAACTATCAGACTGAAGCATAAGATATTTCTGTTCTGCAGAAACAAAAGTAAAATATTAGCAAATTTCTGACCAAGAATATATCATTCCACTCAAGTCTTTTTTGAACGGCTTGAAAGATAGACACATCAAATAAGCATTAAAACAAATACTTACAAAATACTCATGACCACAATAAGAGTAGTGTAATAGCTTTCTATTTCTTTTTTCTTTTCTAAGGAAAAAAAGGAGGGGCACAGAATACAGAAAAATTAGAAGAAGTAAAAGAAAACCAAACCAAAACCATTGCACTAGTATAAAAATCAGAATTATAATAGTTAATATCATTTGAAAAGAACTATAATTTTTTATAATTATTTATTTAAAAAGAGATTTAGGATGAGCTTCATGAACCTCTTGTTGATTCCTGGTACACTGAGTAGAATGAAGCAAATCTTAAAAAGTTAAAGCTACATTAATCTTTCAAATTTGGCCTAAATTACAAGTTAATATATTAAAAAATAGGCAATCCAATAAACTATAATCTCTAGCTAAGTACTAGCTCTGTAAGTATTTGAATTTGGTTTATGTATAACATTTTACTTTTCAAAAATGAAAACATTTCTGACCTGTTTATTGATGTCCAAACTTTTGAAATTTACAGTCATTAATCTTAAATAATGGTTAAACATGTTCACACTAAGATATGTCTTAGAAGGAAATTTTAAAATATTGATACAGAAATACAAGCATATTCAATTTACTGAAATGCTAATATATAAATTGGGTTATTTAAAAATTGCCCAGAACTCTTCAGTAACAAAGATGAATGCCTGTATATTATACATCAGCTTTTTCTGAGGTCTTTACTCAAAATTTTATAAATTAAAGGAAGATTAAAATATCTTAGATATGAATACAATCTTTTTTTTTTCAGCCTACAAAACAGGTTTATTCCAGGAATGCAAAAATATTTCAGTATTAAGAAGATAATTAATATAAATTACCTCTTCAACAGAAAAAAAGGAGATAGAATTATACAGTTGTTTTGCTATTTCACAGCATTCATTTGGTAAAGTTCAGCATTATATCTCAATTAAACAATGTTGGTAATTTTTCTTTTTAATGGCAAAACACTAGAAGGATAGGCTTTGTAGTTAATTATATGACCAGTAAAATGGTTTCTTCTTATTGCTGTTATAATTTATCCTTTTTTTTACTAGTTTATTTACAAAATTCCAATACAAATTAGAACAAATTCTTTCCATTTCCCTCACCCCCCCCACCCATCAAATTGTACAATCTAATGATTAATCCCCTCTTCCCGCTCTACATCCACATCATTCTGGTTTCAGCCTCTCCCCCCCCTCCAGAATCCTAATAATGTTCTTATACAATATTTATCCTTATGGGACTGAGTTAATTCACTCAGCATAATGCTCTCCATTCCCTCCCAAGTTAGGTAATAATTTACAAAGTTATTGCTCCTGCATGCTGCATAGTATTCCATTACAGAAAAGACATTTGACAAAATCCAACAACCCTTCCTGATAAAGACACTCAGCAAAATTGGAATAGAAGGAAATTTCCTCAACATGGTGAAAAGTATATATGCAAAACCAAAGCCAACCTCATTCTCAATGGAGAAAGACTAAAAACATTATCCTTGCAAACAGGGATCAGACAAGGATGGCCAGTGTCAACACTTCTTTTCAATATTGTATTGGAAGTGCTTGCTAGGACAATACGACAAGAGACGGAAATAAAAGGCACCCGGATCAGCAAAGAAATGGTTAAACTGTCACTATATGCAGATGTTATGATAGTATACACAGAAAACCCCAATGACTCAACAAAAAAACTGTTAGAGTTAATAGGCCAATTTAGTAGAGTGGCAAGATTTAAGATCAATATTCAAAAATCAGTAAGATTCCTCTACAGTAACAAAGAGAACTCAGAGGTGGAAATAGAGAAAGCAATACCATTTAAAATAGCCAACCACAAACTGAGATACTTGGGAGTGAAAGTAACTAAAGATACAAGACACCTATACAAAGAAAACTACAGAGTATTTCCGAAAGACACAATAAAAGACCTAAAGAAATGGAAAAATGCGTCCTGTTCATGGATAGGAAGACTCAATATGGTGAAAATGACAATCCTACCAAAGGCAATTTACATGTTCAAATGCAATCCCAATCAAGATACCAAATTCATTTTTCAAGGAGATTGAAAGAGAAATGATCAAATTTATTTGGAAAGACAAGAGACCTTGAAGAAGCAAAACACTTCTGAGAAACAAAAATGAAGTTGGAGGCATAGCACTCCCTGACTTCAAAACCTACTACACAGCAGTGGTAACCAATCTATTTTATATTGACAGTGGAAATTGCTGTGTATCATATGTGGTCACGTTCTGATATTTAAGAAATATATTGAGACTGGGAAAACAAAATCTCTGTTTTAGAAGAAAATATAAATTGTTAAACTTTGTAAAAAAAAATTGGAGAATGAGAAGGTATGATAATTTTATGTCTCTTGAGATGGAGAGAACAGAAAATTCAAGAAAGATGTCACCAAAACTTAGAATAGGGATAACTAAAGTCAAATTTCATCTCTTCAATTTTGTTTAGCTGGCTCTGACAGTGTCTAGTATTGAAAGTACAAAATTTCGTTAGTTTCATTTTTTAATCAGATAGAATATACAAGTCATATTGTATTTTCATTCAATTATTCTATTCATGGGTATTTGTTTTATAACATCAGTTAAAAATGACTAATGTAATTCATTACTGTGAAACCATTTTGTAAAATTCAAAGTAGAGCTCAACTTTCCACAAATGCCAGCAGAAAGCATAATCCCAGGAGCAGAGCAGACCAGAGAGAATGGTCAGAACTGTGGTAAACATTTGGTCGACCAGGCAACTGCTATGAGCTCCAGAAACTGTTGCAATGAAAAGATTTGGACTCAGGACTGTCAGAACTTTTACATATATTTAGTGGGTAAGGAGATGCACTGCCAGCCTAAAAGGCAAGTGCTTTTAAACAACCAGCAACTTTGTCAGAGAAAGGTGACAACCTCTTCCTGTGCGATCTACAGCCTCTGAAAACCTGCTGGAAGGGTCAGCAAAGAGTGAGGTTTGACTTGACAGCATATAACAACAAAAACAATACAATATATAATAAAAAATGTTCCGTTTTAAAAATACCCTGTGTGCCAAATACAGGAGCTCTGGTGGTGTGGTCCATAGGGAGCTGCACTGCTAACCCACAGGCGGTCCCTTTCTGGTGGTTCAAATCCACCAATGGGTTTACAGGAGAAAGATGTGTCATGTACTCTTGTGTGATTTACAGCCTCCCAAAAACCTGCAGAAGTGTTAGTTATGAGTTCAAACTTGATGGCAATGAGATGAGTGGGTCAAATAAAATATATCTAGGAATCATATACATGCCATTTTGAACTGATGTTTTAGATTTATGTGTCAATATTGGCACAGTAACTGGGGTAATGGGGGTAGGTAGGTCAGAGGCAGTGAGTTTGGCTCAGGATAGGGCAGGATACAGTACTATCGCACATAGGGTCACTATAAGTGTAGCTGGCTTAACAGCACATAACAACAATATCTTTAATAAGTTAGCATTTGATGAATATTATAATAAAGGGAAGAAAGGAAAGGCTCCTAGTTGTTCTGGCTTAGATACAAGAAAACAAAGTTTCACCATCCTTGCCTATAAGGAGAACTCTGGTTGCCCTTCCTTCAAGACAGATTTGTTTTCTTTTGGTAGTCTGTGATCTATTTAATACTCTCTGTCAACATCACAGTTCAAAGGCATCAATTATTCTTCTACCATCCTTATTCATTTTCTAACCAACTTCCAGATGCAAAGGAATGGTGAAACTTTGTCTCACTTCAGGCATATTTTCAGGATGAACTAGTCCTTGGAGAGAGATGTTCATGCTGGGGAAAGTAGAGGATCAGAGAAAGAGAGGAAGAGCCTCAATAATTATTGACACAGTGACTATCACAGAGGGTTTGCCCATGACACAGATCCTGAGGATGGTACAGATGGGGTAAACTCCGTATCTGTAGAACACAGGGTCATCATAAGCCATAGTCAACTCTATGACATCTAACAATAACATATACAAGAGGCATATTCTGCTTATAAAACTAAACAAAACATCCTTCATCTCAGTTTTATAGCTACCTGTAATATCCCCTTTGACATCTAAGCCCAAATCTCCGGAAGACCGCTGAGAAGACAGTTTAGGAACAATTTCTGTCGTTCGGTTGAATGTTCTCCTTCGCCTTCGTAGCCCACTAAGTTTTGCAGGATCTTCAATAGACTGGCTTGATATGGATTCTTCCATTAACAAATCTGATTCTAAAAAGGAAATAAAAAATAATCTTTATTTAGATAGGAGAGCACCTTCTCAACAAGATACAAAAGCTTTTTCATTGTTTTATTCCATGTTTGATTTTTTTGTTGTTTGTTTGTTTTTAAAGTCTTAACTTATTTTCACTATTCCATAGGTTCTTATGGCCTAAATTCAAGTCTTACTATTAACAAAAAGCTTTAGAGAGTACAAAAACTCCATGATGCGGTTTTATTTTTCTAGGAAGAATCAACTGTATTAATAAATGATGGAATAATTAGAGAACAATTTGCTATATGCTATATTAAATATTAAAGTAACTATTTCAGTTATGGACACAACAGGATGCCCACTTGGACTGAATTACTAGAAGAACTTCCAAGGTAGGTCATAGCCCTTCACCACCAACCTCAAAGGAAGGAACAGAATGTGTTGTTATTGTTGCTGCATGCCATCAAGTCAGCTCTGACTCAGAGTGACCTTATGTACAAATGAACAAAAAGCTATTTGATCCTGCATCAGGCCAATCCTTATTTTCAAGAGTCTTCCTCTCTTTCACTGACCCTCTCCTTCATCAGACATGGTATTTTCTCCTAGAAACGGCCCCTCCTGATAGCATGCCCATAGCATGTGACATGAATGATAGTTCTAAATTCCCACGTGGGTTTGCAAGAAAAGAAACATGAGTAAAGAAAATACGCAGTCTCTGTAAATTTTCATTAAAATTAATTTTTTAAAAAAGAAAATACTCAAACAACCTAAAAACCTCATTTTTATAATTTGTTTCAAACTTTTCCCTCACCAGACTTTTTTTATTAGCAGCTCATTATCCAGTGGCCAAGCTAATTTCTGAGTTTCATCCTCTCTCCTCCTTATTAGGAGTTTAATGATGAAATAGCCAGAGAGAGAAAAGCAAGGAAAATAAAGACTCACTAGCTAATAAGGCTTTGAGCTCTAGTGAAGAGTTCCTAGAGAGCTGCACTGCTAATCCATAGGAGGTCCCTCTCTGGCAGTTCAAATCTACCAGACACTCTTGGGAAGACAGATGGGCAATCTCCTCCTGGGTGATTTACAGCCTCTAAAAACCTGCTGGAGTGTCTGCTATGAGTCATTTCTAATTTGTTGGCAATGAGTTTGAGTTTGTTTTAATATGGCCTTAAACACTCCAAGCAGACTGAATGCCAACTTTTCTCTAAAATTAATTATGCTTACACAGATATAGGTTCATCGTGTATATTTTAAGAAGTATCTAAACAGAAGAATATCACTTATCTCCAGTCAACATCAGTACTTGCCTCCACCAACTCCATACATGCACAAGATGCCTTTTAAATGAATTGCATCTAATAAGCAAAGTAGAGGCTCAAAGGCCTTCCAAAATTTAGTAAACATGAGTCTATTTTTGTGACCAGGTTATGCAGTCCCTCCCTGTACTCAGCTTTGCCTTTTTGCAGGGACAGGGAAGATGATGGCTGCTAGCTATGTTATCTTGGGCAAGCCACTTAACTTTTCTTTTTTTTTTTTTGCCACTTAACTTTTCTGTGTCTCAATTTCCTCTCTATTAAAATGCAAAACATCAATAATACTACCTACCTCAGAGGGTTGTTATGAGGTAGTATTTATAATATACATATAATAATAGTATGTACTATAAAAGTATTTGTTAGGTAGATAAATATTTAAAGTTCCACAAATAATAGAGTAAGATACTTCTAATACATTTAGAACCTCATCGATGGAAGTTATTCCAAAGTTATCTAATAGCCCTTGCTATGAATCCAAATGGACAATCCACTATGCTATTAGAGGCTATTTTTACAAAAGTAGATAAAGTTTTTAAAATTTACAAACCAAGCTGCTTAAAATAATCCGCCAGTGAATTCCAGGAATTCTTCTCAATTAAAGATTTTATAAGACCCCAGGGTTGTTTTCTATATTTCACATCTGTGGAAACTCTAATAGGATAGGAAGGGGGAAAGGTGATGTATGCATTAAGAACATATGTTTAAAGAACAGACTAGTTACATTGATATTGCAATTACATGTAAGGTTTTACACACAAACATTTTCAGTGGAAAACCACAAAAAAAGTTAAAGTCACTGAAATTCTAAAAGGAAATTCATTTCCTGGTAATTTCTTTAAAACATTATATAGAACTTCAACAACTTAATCAATTTTTATTTCATCTGTTTCTAGTCTTGATTTCTTTTTCCTAAACAGAAACAGTTTCAAAGTAAATTCTAGATTTTCTAAATGCCTTGTATGAAAAATATCTAGTAATCAAAAATTAGTTGAAAATAACTACATAAGTTGGGCTAGAGTAAGATGACTGCCCATCACTGTCTTCAATATACCAGCAATTCTCACGACAGCAGAGCCATTTACTGCTTTCTACCTTCTTGTTAGCCACCACTGATTGCATCTTCAACCCAGGGTAACCCATACACAAAAGAACAAAATGCCACCAGTCCTGCATCATCCTCATAATCAGTCTGTGAATCTCACTGCTGAGACCACTCAAACCTCCTCAGCATCATAGCAACAGCAAGCTACCACTGACAGAAGGGAGGTGGCCACACCATGAAGTACATTCATCAGCAACTGAGCTGAGATCTCCCACACACAGGGTGAGAATTCTACACTGATACACACAAGGACATCCAGCCCTCTACCATTTGATAGGGTCATGTGAATAGTTCTGGCCAAAGGGCCATGGACCATGAACTGAAATACAGTTCTTCAGCATTTTCTTTCTGTAGCAACTGAAATATTGTTACAGATTGTGCAGTACACAGATATCAATACCTTCACTGGATCAGGGCCTTGATAAGAAGCCTCACTCCTAGGCTCACCACTTTTGGGTGTGTAACTTGGCCAAGAAAGCAAGCTTTGTTCCCCCCCCCCCCAGGATCCATAAGTCACAAAAGCATAATCTAGCTTATCTTGGTGAACACACTCATTTACCACAGCTCACCTTAGCCTGCATTTCTGTTTTGAAGATCGGATGATACAGTATCGGTTCAAAGTATAAAAGTAATCATGGTAGGGGACATCATGTGTTGATACTTCCGCATCCACCACATAAAAACATGATTCTCGACTTTCTTTATATAGTGTCTGTCAAACCAAGAGAAAGAGTATTTGTATGTGCATACTTAATATACCAAACATTTTGCCAATTTAGAGCATAATATACTTGGATTCTTTTCACAAATTACAAAAGACATAAAATGATATGTGAAATTATGTGAGCCTCAGTGTTAAACTATACCTAAGTATGAACTGAGGAAAAAGTAACCTACAGAAAAAGAATTTCTGGATTCTGGCATTGATTTTATTGCAAAATTAATATATCTGTCTTTGTTTTAAGTATGAGGAGAAGAAAAGAAAGATAAAATTTCTGGTGTGTATTTAATTTATTAAAAAGGTTACATTTACCTGTTAGGGGAACATTTTAAAAAATCAATTGAACAGAGCAAGAATGATACGCTAAAGTTCACCAAAGCTTAACAAAATCAACCTTCACCAGACAAAAGAAGGAGGCAAGAAAAGTCACCAAGCAAAATGCCACTTTATCTCAATGGAGTTTAAAGTGATTGTTGGACAAATCTTTCTCATTTTAATTATGTTGTTGTTGTTGTTATGTGCCATCGAGTCTCTTGTGACTCATAGCGACCCTATGTACAATAGCCCTAAACCCTGCTCTATCCTGTGCCAATCTCATTGCCTCTGACACACCCATCCCGATTACCCTAGTCACTGAATCAATCCTCCTCATAGAGGGTTTTTCCCTTCTGAGCCATCCCTCCACCCTCCCAATCATGATGTCCCTCTCCAAGGACCTCTCCCTCCTTACAACATGTCCAAAGTATGTCAGACGAAGCCTCAGAATCCTTGCCTTCAAGGAGCAGCATGGTTTAACCTTCACCAGGATGAATCTGTTTTCTTGGCAGTCCAGGGTACATTCAATACTCTAATCCAGTACCACAGCTCAAAGGCACCAATTCTCCTTCTATCCACCTTTGTCACTGTCCAACTCTCTGATGCATAACAAGTGATTGCAAAGACCACATAGCCTGTATCAGACGCACCTTAGTCTCCAGAGTGACACCATTGCTTTTCAGTATCCTGAAGAGGTCCCTAACAGCAGACTTTCCCATCACAATATGTTTTTTTATTTCCTGGCTACTGGTGCCAAGAGTGTTGACCATGGAGCCAAGAAGACTAAAGTTGTTAACAATCTCAATCTCTTCACCATCCATCCTGATGCTGCCATTTGGTCCAGTGTTGAGAATCTTTATCTTCTTGATGTTGAGCTTCAATCTATACTGAAGGCTGCTGTCCTTCACCCTCTGCAGCAAGCATTTCAGGTCCTCCTCAGTTTCAGCAAGCAGGGTTGTGTCATCTGCATAACGCAGAATGTTAATAGATCTTCCAACAATCCTGACGCCACCCTTCTCCTCATAGAGCCCAGAATCTCAGATAATCTGTTCTGCAGGCACGTTGAAAAGGTATGGAAATAGGACACATCCCTGGCGTACACCTTTCCCAATTTTGACCATGCAGTGTTTCCTTGCTCTGTTCTGAGGACTGCTTCTTGGTCCAAGTATTGGTTTCACATTAGAATGATCAAGTGTTCTGGGATTCCCATTCTTCTCAGAGTCAGCCACAGATTGTTATGATCCACACAGTCAAATGCCTTTGCATAATCAATGAAACACAGATAGACATTCTTCTGGTATTCCCTGCTTTCAGCTAAGATCCATCTAACATCAGCTACAATATCCCTAGTACCACGACCCCTTCTAAACCCAGCCTAGACTTCTGGCAATTCTCTGCTGATGTGCTGTTCCAGTTGTTTTTGGATAATTTCAGTAGGATCTTGCTTGCATGTGAAATCAATGATATCGTTCTGTAGTTTCCACACTCTGTTGGGTCACCCTTCTTTGGAATGGGAACAAATAAAGATCTCTTCCAGTCAGTTGGCCAAGTGGTTATTCTGCAGATTTCTTGGCACAACTTGGTGAGCACATCCAGGGCAGCATCTGTTAGCTGAAATATGTCAGTTGGTATACCATCTATTCCTGGGGCCTTATTTTTTGCTATTTCCTTCAAAGCAGCTTGAACTTCCTCCTTCATCACCATAGGCTCTTGCTCATATGTGATTTCATTAAATTCTTCTGTGTCTGCCAGTTCCTTTTGATACAGTGACTCAGTATATTCTTTCCATCTTCTTTTAATACTTCCTGGGTCATTTAATATGCTGCCTAAAGCATCCTTGATTATAGCAACTCGAGGTTTAAATTTGTTCTTCAGTTCCTTGAGCTTAAGAAATGCTGAGTGAGTTTGGCCCATTTGATTTTCCGACTCCAGCTCCTTGCACATTTCATTGTAATATTTTGCTTCGTCATCCCATGCTGCCTTTTGGAATCTTCTGTTCAGCTCTTTAGTATCTTGAATTCTTCCTTGTGCTTTGGCTTCTCTACGCTCCAGTGCAATCTTCAGAGTTTCTTCTGACATCCATTTTTGTTTTTTCTTCCTCTTCTGTCTTTGTAATGACCGTCTGCACTCTTCCTAGATGATACATTTGACATCCTCCCACAACTCATCAGGTCTTCACTCATTAGTATTCAAGGCCTCAAACCTGTTCCTGAGATGGTTCAGAAATTCAGGTGGGATGGACTCAAAGTCATATTTTGGTTCCTGTGGATTCGGTTTAATTTTCCTCAGCTTCAGCTTGAACTTGCATGTGAGTAGCTGGTGGTCTGTTCCACAATCAGCTGCTGGCCTTGTTTTCACAGCTGATATTGAGCTTCTCCAGCGTTGGGTTGTATTTTTTTTGTTGGTTTGCTTGTTTTGTTTTGTTTTTTTTAGATATAATCCTTTTCAAAATCACTGACCAAGAAAAAACATGATAAGGAAAGATCCTAAGGTTATTATTGAATCTCTAATACCAAACACTCATTTCTTCTTAAAAGGTGAAAATCTCTTTAAAATTCAATAAGGGTAAATAAAGAAGTCTTTTTTTTTTTTCATACGGATGGACAAAAACTACAAACAGCACAACTAGTTCAGAAAGTAATAGATATTTTCAGTCTGTTTGAAGAACATGGATTCTATACTTCTGCACAGTTTGGTCAAAATACACACACATACACATACCCATACACCACTGTACCACATTCAGCAACGTACTGGCCACAGAATAATGATTAATTTTGTTGTTGTTAGGTTCCATTGAGAAGACTACAACTTATACCGACCCTACATACCACCTATCTGAACCTTGCTATGCTGTGTCATCACAATCTTCACAGGCTCAGGTGAACTGCTGCAATCGCTGTGTCAAGTCATCTCATTGAGGATCTTCTCTTACACTGACCCGCTCCTATTCCCAGTAATGATGACTTTTTTGCAAGTACTGGGACCTCTTGACAATGTGCCTAAGGTATGACAAAGTTACACCATCCTTGCCTTTGAGCAGCATCCTGGTTGCACTCCCTCCAAGATAGATTTCTTTGTTCTTTTGGCAGATATATTTAATATTCTTAGTCAACATTATAATTCAAGGGCATCAATTCTTTTTCAGGTTTCCTTATTCAGTGTCCAACTTTCACATACATTTTTTTTAATTTTTTTTCTATATTTTATTAATTTTCATAAACATTTACAGAGATTTTTGGGTTTCCATTCATTCATTGTTGTACTATTCTCTCTACCCTCCTCCCAGTTTGTTCTTGTCCAAATGCCACAGTGCTTGTCAAAGCCAGTTCTGATTAATCTTCTTTGTCAGTGTGTCCTTTGCCATTCCCTATCACTCCTCCCTGAGAGAGACTTCACCCTGATTCATAAGGAAAAGGGGATGGCGTATTCTCTTAGCTACTTCCTGCTGAAAAGGGAAGCTGTGGGTTTCAGGGTAAAGATCTTCTCTCACTACTCTAAAGGGCCCCTTTGGCAGTAGGAAACACATAGACTATTATGGAGATTTTCACATACATTTTAAGAAATTTTTAAATTTTATTTTAGTGTGTGTGTGTGTGTGTGTGTACTGTCAAATTGGATCTGACTGGTACAGAAGGAGATTGCCCCTCCTTCTCCAGCAGAGCACCTGGTGGATTCAAACTGCGTACTTCTGGGATTGCAGTGCAGCTTCTTGCCACTAGGCCACCAGAGCTCCCTGCAGCTTGATTTTTAAACCGGCATCCTTGTTGTTCAGAACTTTAAAAAAGTCCTTGACAGTATGTTTGCCCAAAGTAACGCATTATTTTTAAATTTTTAACTGCTTCTAACATAGGTGTTGATTGTAGATCCAAGTGAAATGTACATACACACAGTCACATACCATTGGTCTATATTTAGTCACATGATGGCCACAGAATAATAGGAAATTTTAAATATCTTTCATTTTGAAAACTCAATCTCTTTCCCATGTATAACAGCAGCCATTTATGTATCTGGCTCTAAATCTTGATATGGACCTGTAAAGCAGACTTCAGGGTACTAATTTTATTATAAAAAAATTTTAAAACCACAAGAATAGAAATAAAGTATAAAGAAACCTATTGTGATCATCAATCAGCTTCAACAACATGTCCAGTTTAGTTTCATCTATTCCTCAATCCAAGATTCCTAGACGGTAGTATGTCCACTACCATCTTCCATCTGGCTAGTTGACTTTTAAAATAGATCTCAGATGTCAATATAAGTTTATTCATAAGTAATTCAGTCTATTCATTTATTAATTCATCCATCTGTACCTTTGAAATATAAAATATTGTTTTCTTTAAAGATGGCATGATACCTTTATTACACATGAAAAATAATTCTTAAACAATCAAACACTGTTAAGTGTTTAATCCCCATTGTTCTATAAATGTCTTGATAAAATTGGTTTGCTTACATTCGAATAGAGTTGATATGGCTCTTGAGTCTCATTTAACCTAAAACTCTTCTGTTTATCTTTCTTACCATGAGTTTGCTACATTTTTCTTATAGATCAATTATATCCTGCTGATTATAGAGTCTGTGGTGTTATTTACACAAACTTCCCACTCAGATATCTTACCCACTGCTATCAAGTCAATTTTGACTCATAGTGACCTTATAGACAGAGTAGA